TTGTGATCGGAGTATGCTTCCATCCCAAACAGCCATGTTATTCCCCACCAGGGCACTATGCATTAACATTGGGTGTGATATAAAATGCGAAAGTCAGTGACTCCAATACCATTGATTATAAGCTGATCCTCAATCCAAAAGACAAGTCTATTAAGGTATCATCCCACCATTTCGATCCAATGTGGGATTTTTACACCACCTCTCTTTTGGAGCTCTTGGAATTATTCAAAGATCCATATGTAAGCAAAGATAAAGCACTAACTCTGAGAGCTATACTTTAACTCATAATTTCACATTTTAAAAACTGCTAGAGACACTAAAAGTGAGCCGAAAATATTAAGGAACACATAAAATTAGTGAAATCAGCCACCAGCAGCTTTCAGGAGGTATGGTGTTAGAAGATATTTTGAATCTACTTTGTGCCAATCTAGGAAGAGAGTCAATGGAGAGGGCTTTGATGATTCTCTTGCTACACTATCAGGTTCATCGCCCTTAAAACTCCAATCCAAAGACAGGGTGCCTCTGTTATTTTTCACTTCCAATCATCATTTTTAGAGGACAGATGATAATCATGTTTATTATGCGGGGACTAGATAATTTCAGTCCCATATATCATTGTCATTTAGCTAAAGTGGGCTCAACCGTGGCTAACAAGACTTTATTAGTGACTCATAAACAGCACTCGCTTGAACCATGTTTCACTCATTTAGGGAGCTCAAGGATCACATGGCACAAATCTGTTTAAGAAACATTGCTGCATTTTTCCCAAACAATACAAGTCATTGAAAACAATGATTATCAGTACAGCACACCTAACCATTGTGCCCATTGTGCAGTCAACTGAGAGAACAAAAGTGTCCAGTGTAGATGCTCCTTCCTCCTCTCCTCAGCCCAAATGTCCTCTGGCTTACGCGGCTGTAAGCATATAAAAATGTTAGTTTTTAAAGTTCCAATGTATATATGACATACATCAGTAGAAAATTTTTCGATATCCTGTATGCCTTTAAAGCAAGTACATATGTGCATTAGAAATGAGAACTTATCCCTACATGATTGTCATCATATTCACCACGCCCTAACAGGGGCTCATCAGAACCACCAAATTTAGATGCCTCATAATGCTCATGCTTTCTACCATCAACGTCCCCATGATGGAGCCGTCTCCTCAACTCCCCTGAACTCATTAATTACGCTTTAGAGATATATACCAAGTTCTTTTCAGACTCAAAAACCAGTTTAAAAACACCCAACCTGCATCAAAACAATCAAACATTTGATAAACAGCATATAAAGGTGAGAACCCAGAAACTCAAATACAAAAAAGCTTCCAGGTTGGCAACTCAAAAAAAGAACGCCTTAGCCCCAATAAAATTACTTCCAGAAGATGAAAACCGTGCTACTCGATTCTCCATGATAACAAACGAATACCATAATATGCTCCCAAAAGCCAAATGTTGAAGACAGCGGCCTAACCCCCAATTCTAAAGCCAAAACCCAAATAAACCCCACGTAAGAATACCAAAAACAATGATAAGACAAGAACACAAGTACTAGTTTGATATCTAACAATCCCTAGTTCACAAAATCAACAATTACCCCAGAGTCAGTCACCCAGATGCACCCATGATAGAATTCGAATAGGTCTCCAGTGCATCTCCCTCCTCCATACCCCACGGCCACCGTTCAAAGTTCCGAAGAGAGAAGAAAAAGAGACTCAAACCGAATCGCAGTTAAGACACTAATCTTCGTAAGGAACTGAAGAAAAGAAAGTGAACAAGTAATCCGGCCTGACAGTTAATTTCTTTTTTTTTTTTTCTTTTTTGAACGTAGCTGTTATGATAGATTTGTTTTAGTCTCCAATAGGATCGCAAAGATTTGACCTCAACTAACGTAAAGAATAAATATTTCCGCGGCAATGTTATTATTACAATCTTACCATAATAAATTTTTGAACGAAAATTGCACCAGGAGAAACCACCAGGAAAATGTACTAGGATTGCAAGTCAGCAAATTTCAGACTACACTATAGCAATTCTGCATACTACAAATAGCTTGGTGCAATTTTGTCAAATGACCATACAAGTCAGCAAAAATGACCACTCAAATCTACACAAATGGTTATCTCCCAACAGCATTTTACTTTTCATTTATTATCTTTTTGTTAGATTTTACCTGTAAATAGTCATGTTTCCTTTGTTGTATGCATCAAGTTTCAATTAAGTTTTAACTTGTAATTCTCTTATGTTTGAGTGAGTTTTTGTGACAACAGATTTTTTTCAATTTATTTTTGTGTCTTAAGTTTTGTCAACTTAATTGGTGTTTCAGGTAATTGAATTCATCATAATGAGATTCTAAATTTCACCAAAATTGATATTTTGGTATCGACTCTTGTGCCAAAAATATTTAACTAAATAATAATACATTATAATTATAAATTTATAATATTATTTAATATTATAACAATATTATTTTTGATATTTTAATGTAAGATGTTTAACATCATAACAAGTTAATAAGTCTTTTCTTTATTGATGGTAATAGTATGGTACATGTTACTAACTATTGGAACTGGTTGGGAAGATTAAAAGAACTATTAGCGAAATGACTTCAAGGCATGCTCCAATATCCTTCTCCTTAGGCTTTATTCGCCCCCACCATTAAGAAGTATTGGTATACAAAATGGTTAATGGCGAATTACCTTGGAATACAATGAAGCATAATATTTGACAATGCCTTGCACTAATGAAATAGAACCACTGAGCATTCACCAAAAAAGTAGAATGATCACTAACTTATATATACTTTTCTACAACGAACTTTGTACAAGGGTGACTTTGGTTTAAGAAAGTAGTGGGAGCCTTCTTGGCATGTAGAAAACTTAAATGTGCCAATGATGACTTGTTTATAGAAAATGAAGAGTTGCCTTGGAAAAGAAGTGATCATGCAAAAATGTGCCTTTTGAAATATACACGTCTTTAAAAAATTAGTCAAGACTCTACAAAAAGATATGGCTATTTAAAAAATTATAACATTTTATTTTATGAAAGATGTTTTTTAATATGGATTGTATTTTTTTTACATGAGTATTAAAATTATTAAAATACTATTAATAAAAAAACATGAAGAGAGTTATTAAAGGTATTTTAATAATTTTAGTAATTGAACTGAAAAAAAATATATTTTGTACTGAAAAACACGTTGGCTTTCAGCACAATAGTATTTCATGCAACATACGACTGAGCATTCACCATTTTGTTTTTGGATTTTTGATTTTGTTTTTGTTTTTGTTTTTGTTTTTTGTTTTTTGTTCTTTTTCAATCTTGCCATTATAGACTTGAAATACTTAAGTTACAGAATTGGCTTAAACTCATCGTTTTCCTTCACCATACACTTCTTTTTTTACTCTAATAATATGTAAATAGAATTCGCGGTTTCGCAGTGTGGCACAATTAGAATCATTCAATTTGGCAGAGCTCATTCCTATATTTGAAATTCTGCTTCCATTAGATAATTAGTTTTATCTTATCTTTTTATACAATTGGATGTAATTCAAATTATACAAAACATTTCTAATGTAAATATAAGTATTCAGTCCTTTTCGATTTATTCTCAGGCTTTGAATTACATTCCAATCTCCAACATTTTTCATGACCAATCATCAAACTATCTATTAGAAAAAACATAAGATCTATAACTTTAAAGTAGCACCCACAGAATTAGCTGCACTAATACGAGTGTGCCAAATCTATAACCGAGTTCGAATCTATTATAGCATTCCCTCTTCCCCAATTTCCCATTGTCCAAAATAGAAAAATTACGAAGATATATTCCTTTTCCCATTTCCCACTTTTCTTGGGAGACTTCCCTATATCACAAGGGTTCAAGGGAATTGTTCTTTCTAGAAGGCATATAAGTTGAGAATTCTTAAAATCTTGAATGAACATGTGCTGGGCTATTTTTTGTTAGGGTTTGTTGAATAACTTTTATTTATATTTATATATTTTTTATTTTTATTTAAAATGGTTTACATACCATTTTGGTCTCTCAACTTTTCACTTTGGCACCAAAATTGTCTTTTAACTTTAAAAAGTATTAAAATTATCTTTAAACTTTTATTTTCGATACCAAAACAGTCCTTCCATTAATTAAATGAACAGGTGGCACGTTAATTTGCCGACAAATCAATTCTTTTTTTTTAACTAGTGACATGGAAAAAAAACCATAATTGGCAACTTTTTTTATGAGTTGTCATTTTTATTTAATTTAAAAATAATAATTTTTTTTATTCATCCACGTCATCTTTTCTTTCTCTTTCACTTTCTCTCTCCTTTACCTTTCCTTCTCCCTTACCTCTACAAACCCATATTTGGGTTCTCTCTCAAGCTTTATCTTCTTCCTCCTTTTCTTTCCCTGCTCATCCTTCTTCTTTCTTCTTCTTATTCTTTCTCTCTCTCTCTCTCTCTCTCTCCTCCCTTCTTCCTCTCTCAAACCCAGATCTGGGTTTTAGAAAAACTGCTTCCTTCTTCGGCTTTATGTGAAATTATTCGTTAATTCTCTCTCTCTCTCTCTCTCCTCCCTTCTTCCTCTCTCAAACCCAGATCTGGGTTTTAGAAAAACTGCTTCCTTCTTCGGCTTTATGTGAAATTATTCGTTAATTTATGTCCAAAATCATTTTGCATGGATTGTCCAGCGAAGAAGGCGACCATCGGTAGAGGTTTTCTTCTCACATGACGCGTTATCAAGGCCCCTTGCTAAATCTCTAACCAGATCTAGGAGCAATTTTTCTAAACAACTAGATGAAATTCATTTCTTCATTGGACGAACAATCTAAAAAACATTAAGCTTGCAAGCAGCTCATAAAATCACCCACCAATAAATACCTAACACCAGCAAAACACAAACTTCACAAACACATATCCTTAAAAGCTTCCACAAACTGCAACCCACTTCCTAGAGACACCAGAATACCCTTTAAAATCCACAAAGGATCGAACTTTTTTTGGAGCAAAACCTGATAAGATTATCTACTCCAA